CGAGCCGCGCCCTGCCCCAGCGCACCTTGCCCCGGCCATCCCCCGCATCCTTGGCCCCCTCGAATCTCAAATTCCTCAAATCTGCTCAAAGCCGCCGGGCCGCCTGCCACAGGCCCCTTRGTGCCCCCTCGATGCCTCACACGGTCTTGTCCCCACACACCTTCCCCTGGCCATCCCCAGCCCCACTGAATGGGCTCCCCAGAGATCTGGTGRAGTCCCCGTCCCTGAAGGTGTTTAGGGGAAGAGTGAACCGGACACTCGGTGCCATGGTCTGGCCAACAAGGTGGTGTTGGGGCACAGGTTGGACTCACTGATCTCAGAGGCCTTTTCCAACCTCCTTGATCTTGTGGTTCTGTGATCCCCTGGTCTCTGCCTCATCAAATCATTCCCCACTGCTGTGTTCTGGAGGACACGGATGATACCCCTCACTGTATTCTGGAGGAGACGGATGGTGCTCCTCACTGTTCTGGAGGACACGGATGGTGCTCCTCACTGTGTTCTGGAGGACACGGATGGTGCTCCTCACTGTGTTCTGGAGGACACGGATGGTGCCCCTCACTGTGTTCTGGAGGACACGGATGGTGCCCCTCACTGTGTTCTGGAGGATACGGATGGTGCCCCTCAGTGTGTTCTGGAGGACACGGATGGTCTGGCAGCCCCCTAAGCCCCTGGGCTGCTGCTCTGAGGGGGGTTTTTCCTGGGAGAGGTGCCATGTCTGTGAGGGAACTGAGCCACTGCAGCACCCCAACAATTACACTACATAAATSAGAGGAAATACCTCCAATGATCTGATTTTTTGAAGTTCTTTCCAATGGAAGAGAGGAGGAAATTCTCAGTAACTCCAGAGATTTCAAGTTCACACAAAATGGGTCGTGTGCCTTTTTTTCATCAGTGTTATACCTGCCATCATCATTTGTCAAATGTTCCTCTACCTGTTCATCACCTAGATGAAAAAGAAACACCACAAAAATTATCCCTGTCTGTCCCTCGGGGATGGATTTTCCAGGTGGGCATCCCYCCACACCGGAGTTGCTCCCTGTGGGAACACTCTGGGTTGTGACACYGAGGTGGCTGTGTGGTCACACACCYCCTGCTCCCAGTGTRACAAAATTTCCTGCACCATCCCAGAGATGCTCCTTGTCCAGTATACACTGCTCGCATAGTGAAATATCAACTGATGAGAACCTTCATTAATGGGCAGAGCTGCAGRGTCACTTTTCACTGTCAGTTCTCATCCCTCTCATCTGCCTTTGTCACGTTACTTCATGTTCCAGCTCCTCCCTTCTGAGCACAGACACAGGGATTGGATTTTTTCTGCAATTTTCTGGAAATTGCAGAAGAGTGACAGCAGAGGAAGTGGAAGCCAAACATTTATCCAAGTCCACAGTTGAGAAAATGGCACAGCCACGGCTCTACCTGAGGCAGGAGGATGGCCCAGGCAGCCACCTGAGCTTCCACAAAACATGGGCAGTGAAGGCTTTTACCATCCCTTGTGGTCCAAAATTTAGCCTGAAATTTCATAGAACCTTTTAGTTCTAGTATTTTTCTCCTTCTGAGTAGTCTTTATGAGTCAGTTCTGAAAAAATCCCAGGCACCAAAGTACTCACCTTGACCCGAGAAGGCAACAGATGCTGTTTCAAATTGTGACTGGGACTCAAACAGATCCTCCTTTGAGCTCTGCTTTCCACTCCCACCTGTGTCATTTTACTCGATTTATCATCAAAAAGATCAATCAGTTGATCCTGCCCGTTGTCTCTGAGTTTAATTATGCATGCTGTTGTTTTTCTAATTATTTAAGAGGTGAGAAGGACCTGTGGCTAGAGAAGACAGGATGCTTTTACCCAAATCCCCCTCTAAGACTGGATGTCTCAGGCTCCTATGATCTCCCTTCTCCTTTTATTTGAGCTCTGAAGGGCAATGGGACACGTGGTTTGGACCTTCTCAAGTTCATCATCACTTCTAAGAAGAGCTACTTGTGAGAACAAGGAGACAAAACACCTGAATCCCCAGGTTCTTCTGCATCATCCATTGCTTTTTTAAGCAAGACTCCAAACCTATGGGGTACTTCAGAGCACAAAACACAAGTGGTGATTCCCAAAGCACCTTAAATTCTGTTTTTAGAGATGATGCAACACCACAGAGAAATGTGAGGAAGGGCATCATGGGGCTGCTGTAGCATGATGGTCCTGGTTTATTTTCTTCTTGCCACTTCTTCCCCCTCCCTCCTTGAAGATCCCTGTRCTGCAGGCCCAGGAGGAGGATTTTTTGGGGAGGTGGGATGAAACTGTCCAAAGCCTGAGTGTGGCATGAAGGAACTGAAGGCAGAAATGGCATCAAGTGAGACACACGTTAAGGCAGCATTGCAAATAGAACSAATGTGCTAAAAAAGACAGGAAAATACTCTAGATTTTATGAGAACATATGGGAGTTAGACGTGCTCAGAAAGGCTGAAAACTGCTTCAGCTGCACCGGCACTGGTCTCACCACCAATCACACAGATCCCAAATCACAGAGCAGGTTTCTACAAACCTCATCTCTATGTGGCTTTTCTTTTTACATAGCAACAGAGGAAAATCTGAGAAACTGGAGCTGACAATAATCAGTGCTAAAACCTGCAAAGGAACCGGCCAGACGGCAGCACTGGGAGYGAGCGGTGGGGGGAGAAGCCACACTGGGAACTACAAAAGCCCCACTCCTGCAGGGTCYGGGCTGCAGCAGAGGGGAGAAAAGCAAAGCTTTTTGTCCCCCGAGCTCCTCCTCTTCAATGCACAGAGCTGAAGGGAAGTCAATAGGGAAGGTTCGCAGTGAGAATTCCTGAGAAATTCCATCTCTGGGAAAAAAAAAAATTCACATGTTCTTTCTTTAAATATGTCCATGCTTTGTTTCATTCTTGTACTGCAGTTTTATGAGGAAGAAATCTAGATCTTGAAGAGCTCTTAGGCTTTATTCTCCACCCTCTTATGGAGAGAGCAGGGAACACAGGCATTCCATATATATTCCCTTCACACTGGGATTTTAGAACATGAAGATTTTTAAGGCACCAAGGCAGCTACAGGCAGAAGGTGTGTGCTCCTGCACATCAGTGAGCATTAGCCTACAAAACCAACTCCAGCCCCTTTAGAACTGGGTGTTATTTTGCACTGAGTCCAGGGCAAGAACAGAAAGCAAACAGTAATTTGGAGGTGTAAACAAGTGCATTGAGTTACTGGCTCAGACCCTGCAGGTCTGAGTGCTTTACTCAGGCTTTGCTCTTCATTAATTCTGGCTTAGCCCTGGGAATAGAAAATACCTTTCACCTACAGCCCTGCCTGTGCTGTGCCTTCCCTGTTCATGATGCTAATAATTCCCTCTGTTTCCCAAATAGCTTCCAAACCTCCTATTTCACATGTTAGTATCTCCTACCCTCATCAGACCTTTTTTTTTTTTTTTTTTCCTTTTTCTCCTGACTGTAAAACACACAATTTWTCTTTCTTTTCCTCGCTGGACCCACAGCCTGTACTCCAAAGCCTTTCTGAGCAATATGAAGTTCCATGCTGACACAGACATTTCCAATTCTGTTTAGTTACATGGACTGGACAGGCACAGAAGCCTCCTTGAGAGGTGAGCAGAAAGGTTTCCCTTTTATGTATGTGCAGAGCTCTAGCCAGTGTTCAAAAAGACTAAAAAATGTCAAGGTTTTATACTAAAACTCACCTTTCCCAAGATGATTTCCTCAGGAACCATCAATTTAACAACACCAGATGCTGCGGATATGAAAAGCCACTGACACTTTTAGGGAGCGAGCAAAGTGGATTGCGTGTGCCAAGAGACAGCAGGAGAGGATCAAAGAGTTCCAGCTTTCAGTGTCTCTTTACACAGATGGATCTGGGAGCAGCAGAGGACACTGTCCCATCCTAGATCCACCTCCTACACGGTGGTTCCCTACACRGTGTTACGTGGATATTCTAAATATATTGTGCCACTCACAAGAAACTGCTGCAGTTATAGAGGCAGCACCTTACCCTTGAGGAGCAGGGGCAGGAGACCTCTTATTGCCTCGTTCTTAGACATCCAGTTTTGATTTGCATTTAGAGCTGTTTTAGTGATGTGTGGATTGGTATTTTGGATCTAGGAATGCCCACTGACATCCTCAGAAGTCTGCAGCACAGAGCAGCACCGTTGTGTAACACCATAGGTGAATTTGCCTTTGTACAGCAGAGATTCAAATACAGACACATMCTCAAATAACAAAACACATACCCTGAGCCTCAGTAAAAGACGAAGGGTTTAAAATTGATGAGTCTCTAGCTTCTCAAGCAGCTTTTTGAGCATTTATRTTGTTCTACCCTGCAAAAATTCATTCCTCCTGACCTGAACAGACACTACTTCCTTTTCTCAGCATGACTGGTGACATGACATGCTCTTGCCAGAGATAACTGTTGGCTTTATTTTTRCTGGAAATGATGGATGCAGCAGCTGATAAGTAAAAAAGGTCAATTTAGCCATAGAGTGTTGCAGCATTTGTCATATGAGGACAGCAAATTATTTACATTATCTTGAAAAATTAATTTTTACTGAGYGTCTCGGGAAAGCACYAGCCTGAGAGGGACTGGTTCCAGCTGTGAGACCAACAGGGCAGCACTGCTAATACTTGTCTATAAAAGTATATTGCTGAACAACTTGGTTGTTGGGAAGCACAGGCAAAAAGTGAGGA